ATGCCCCCCCCCCCGCCGATGGCGGCGATTCTCGTCCGTCCGTCGATCGACTTCATCTCCATAGCCTTCACGACCCCGCAGGTAGCAGCACAGATCTCTCTCATTCGGAAATCGTACCCGTCAGTTTCCACGGCGTCCGCTCTCGAGAAGAGGAAGGGGGCTCCAGTGGAGAAGTCGAAGCAGGGGATGAGTAATGGCTTCACCGTATCCCGCAGTGTTGCTTCTCCAAATATTCTCCGAAAAGCTCCGTCAATCGGCTTTCGGATCATCGCACGGAGAAGCCCCTTCCGCTTGGTCGAAGGGGGACCATTCTTCGCAAGAAAACATAGGGCCTCCTCCGCAGAGAAAAGAGGGCGGCCGTCAACTCCACGGGCGAACAGCATGGCGGAAATGACGCCTCCGGCCCCTGATCCAGCGGCAATGTCGAAGAAATCAGCGATCCGAGCAGCGGGATCGCCGGATTGGATGCGGAGAGAGCATTCAATTCGGGCAAGGAAGGCGGCGGCAAGGAGGTAATCGCTGACTGCATCTATGGATAGAATGCGTACCTTTCCGGATGAGATTGTGGGAGAGACGGGATTCTTCGCTGGGGTTTCAAAAGAGGATTCGTTGAGGAAGAACTTGGGATCGTCGTAGCCAAAGAGAAACTTAGACTCCAGTATTCTAAAAATCTCGTAGCTGAGCTTATCGACGTCGAAGCATGGATCACTCATCGCCGGCGTCGAAGCCATTTTTTCCGGCGAAGAATGGATAAGAATGAGGAGAGAGTACGAACAGAGTACAGAGTGGGTGTGTGATGGGAGAAGATGTAGGGTTGTGTGGGCGATTAAATAGTGGCGAAGCGTAGGTTTGTGAAATGGAGGCGCTTTTTAGTGGCCTTGACGAAGAATTTACTTTAATAGCCCCGATTTATTACTCGTCAGGGGTCGTCAGAACGGATCCGCTTGATCCGAGAAATTTGCGATATTTACATACGTAATTCTAATATATTTACTTTTTTCACATCTAAATTTTCATAATTACTGAAATCTTATATATATATATAATTTTCATTCATAAGTTTAAATACTAATATATTTTATAAGTTAATATAAACATCTCTCAAAATTTTTAAAATATATGAATCCTAGAAGTTGAAATATATGTACTTAAAAGTGTAAGAATAATTTAGTTAACATTAATTAAATGTATTGAAACATTTTTTAGTATTTTTGTTATGAAAAACGACGATAATAAAGCGAAAAATTGGATGGAGAAAAATCTCAAAACATAAAGCATAGCGGAAACACACAGATTTATGTGCTTCGACAAATTGCCTACGCCCACGGAGCTGCAGAAGATTTTATTACTTGTAGGAATATACCAGTCGATCGCCTCGACGATTACAAGAAAGAATTTTTCTTTCTCTCTCTCTTCCCTCTCCTCTCATTCTCTGTCTCTACCCGAGAGCTTCAAACCGAAGCACACTAGAACAAGAACCTGGAAAGCTACCAATGCCGAAGAGAGATGTCTGATAAACCAAATCCTGAAGGAGATTATAAGGGGAGCTAGCATACCTATTTATTAATTTCATCATGTCATTAGGCCTATTAAAGAATTAATCAAATAATTAATGAAACTCATTAGTTATTTCTTTTTCTCATATGCAGCAAATCATAGAAGGAATTAAGAACAATTAATTTCAAGTATCAAATTCAATTTGCTGTTAAACATGAGAAAATGTTAATCTGAGCAGTGGACCGATTTCCATATTCGCAACAAATCTCTCACTTGAAGACTGATACACTTGTTGCATCATCCACTAGTTTCGTCGCCCTTTTCTTCAAATATGATATCCTCCACCTGTGCAACTCAAAGCCCCGATTTTCATGTCAAAAGACCAGCTGAAGTCGAGCACAATTTTACTTTCTCAAGAGTAACACCTTAGTCGACATATCATCGTCAACATAGCTTTGTACCTCCAAGCTCTTTCTTGGGTTACTCATATTTCTGCTTACAACTCCCACAACATGAGAAATATCCTGCCTCTGCTGAAAGCCTTTTTCAACAAGTGTACCATTGTACCTCTTATTGTCATTAAGCGCAGTCTTCACCCGGTACACACACTTGTTGTGCAATGCATTCTTCCATAATGGAAGTTTTGTTAGCTCTCAAGTTTGATTCCCTAACAGGGAATCCATCTTTTCCAGTCGCTTTCCTAGTAACGGAATATGAAGTTTCTTCCTAAAGAGGTAGCCCTCTATCTGCATCCTTCAGTAATCAAAATCTGTGTTATTAAACTTCTCGATCCCAGATGACATCACACCATCTCCGCCCATCGCTTTCCCTCAAATCTGAACTAGTCTCTGATACCAGTTGTGAAAAATGACGGCAATAAAGTGAAAAATCGGATCGATAAAAATTGCAAAACTGAAAACATTAGATCGAAAAAAATCGCAATACAGAAAACAACGACGAAAACACACAAATTTACGTGATTCGGCAAATTGCCTGAGCTGCATAGAATTTTATTACTTCGAGCAATACACCCGTCGATCGCCTCGACGATTAGAAGAAAGAATTTCTCTCTCTCTCTCTCTACCCGAGAGCTTCAAACCGAATGATTTATTACTTCGAGGATTACACCCGTAGATCGCCTCAAAGATTACAAGAAAGAACTCTCTCTCTCTTTCTCTCTCTCTCCTCTCCTCTTTCTTTCTCTACCCGAAAGTCACACCAAGAAGAAGAAACGCCTGAGGGAAACCAAATCCCGAGAGAAATAATAAGGGAAGCTAACATGCCTATTTATTAATTCCATCATGCCATTAGACCCATTAAGGAATTAATCAAATAATTAATGAAACCCATTAATTATTATTTTTTCTCTTCTGCAATAAATCATATAAAGAATTAAGAAGGAATGGAGAACAATTAATTTTGAGTATTAAATCCAATTTGCTGTCAAACATGAGAAAATGTCAATTTGAGCTGTGGAACATTTTCAATATTCGCAACAATTTCTTATAATATATTTTAAATTCATTAAATATGCAACATTTAATTAAATAGTATGAATTCAATATCATATTGAGGCAATTGTGACATGTCGGAGAATATTTTATGTTTGGAAGGCGGCATCAATCGCACAACACTATGTGTTCGGTGACGTGGTGTGATCCACACTGTCATCCGCATGACCCTGGTCCGGACATAAGATTTTCTCGACATGCTGATAGCTAAAATAATTTTTTTTTTCTTTTCATGCACAAAATTTTAATATTAAACCCATGGTATCAATACACCATAAGTTTGTTAATGGAGCCTGTGATTACTCCCTCATGTGGATGATATGCTTATTGCAAGTGCCAGCATTGACGAAATCAATAATCTGAAGAAGCATATGTTAGAAAACTTTGCAATGAAAGATTTGGGAGCGACAAAACAAATCCTTGGCATGAGGATTATTAGAGACCGAGTCAGAGGCATGTTGGGGCTTTCACTGGCTGAATATGTGAAAAATGTGCTTAACATGGTCAATATGGGTCAGGCCAAACCACTTGGCACACCTTTTGGCAGTCACTTCAGACTCAACAAAAATCAGTCACCCAAGTCAGAGGAGGAACAAGACTACATGAGTAAGGTTCCTTACGCTTCAACTAGTGGTTCACTTATGTATGTTATGGTCTGCACCATACCAGATATTGCCCATGCGGTGGGAGTTGTGAGCAGATACATGAGTAATCCATGGAAGGAACATTAGGAAGTTGTGAAGTGGATCCTGAGGTACCTAAGAGGCTCTTCAGAAATCTGGTTGTGTTTCTTAGGAATTAGCCTAGAGGTAGAGGGCTATGCTAATGCAAATTTAGTTGGAGACACTGACAATCAGAAGACTACTACATGTTATGTTTATACTCTTGGTGGTACTGCAGTGCCATGGGGCTCAAATCTACAGAAGATAGTTTTTCTGTCCACCACATAAGCTGAGTATGTTGCAGTATCAGGGGCTGCAAAAGAGAAGATATAGCTACAGAGCTTCTTAGAGGAATTGGGTAAGGAGGTTCAGAATGACACTCTCTACAGTGATAGTTAGAGTGTCACAGTCCTTGCTAAAAATCCAACATTTCAATCTAGGACCATGCACATTCAGATTAGGTATCACTTTATTCGATCATCGTTAGATGAAAGACAATTGCTACTTGAGGAAATTTGTGGAAGTAAGAACCCTGCTGATATGTTGACCAAGGGTGTTACACTTGAGAAACTGAAGTTGTGCTCAACTTCAATTGATTTTCTAACTTGAAAACAAAAACTTGAGTTGCAGAGGTGGATGAGGTCACTTTGAGGAAAAGAATGATACAGCCAACAGATGATGCAGTCAGGAGATGGTGCAGTCGGTTTCCTAGTCTTTAAATGAGAGAATTGTTCATTGGTCCCGCCAAGGCCCCCTCACGTGGTCCCGCCAAAGCCCCCTCACGCGGTCCTGCCAAAACTCCCACATGCTCTTTTAAATAACAAAGCAAAGGCCTGCTAGATGCATCTTCACCTAATCCTCTTTGGCGTGAAACTTACGGTAAAACAATTGAAATTATTTCCAAGGCTCACTGAAAGAAGAAAAGGTTGTTTTCTCTTCTTGAATTTTGTCTTCTTCTGCATCTTCTTCTCACATGGAGAGGAAGAAAGAGAGAGAGGAAGAGAGAGAGAGAGGGTGAGGAGAGAGAGGGCGAGAGAGGGTGAGGAGAGAGTTTTTCTTTGCAAACGTCAAGGCGTTTGATGGTGTAATTTCCTCAAATAGTAAAATCCTCTGCAGCTCCATGGACACAAGCAATGTGTCGAACCACGTAAATTTGTGTCGCTCTTGTGTATTCAATTTTGCGAGTTTTCTCGATCCAATTTTTCACATTATTGTCGCCGTTTTTCACAACAAAGTTGCACTAAATAATTGATTTTGATCATTGAATAGGTTCAATCATCTCTGATGATAATCAAAAACTTTAAATTTAGCCCGAACACATAGATTTTTGTTATACTCAATATTATAAAAATCACCTCATTAAATCATTTGTATTTGAGATATATTGCACTCATTACACTTCAAAATAAATCCTAAAAAAGAACATAAAACATTTCAATAGTGGTTCAAATGTCTACAAAATCTTTAAGGGGCCTTTTTGAGAGAGAAAAAAAAGACACTTTAGACCAAATTGAAAGATAGAGAAATAGAAAATGTGAGATTTCATAACAGATTTTGCCTAAAGTTGGGAGCTATATCATGCATTATTTATATTAATGGGGG